TTTGTCTAAGCCTTACAAATGTGTCCCCCACACATTTGTGCTACCTGTCCGTTGGTACTCATCAGGGGCATATGATTTCTCCACACTCCTAGATGGTTCTATATCTTTAGCCTTAGGATCTCAATGCTAATCATCAACCTACCTTCTCCCTAGCTGCTGTGTGGGGTACAGCCAGCAGTCGAGAATGCCCTTCATTCATTGCCTCATGGTTCCCATAGCATGTCCAGAGACATGCTATTTATTGCTTTGAAGTCAGTTAATGAATGGGGTTGAACTCAATGCAATTACAAAGAAAGAGAATGAACATTTATTAAGAGAAAGGGAACAGCAACATCAGTGTTTATAACAGTGCAACTCACAATAGCCAAGATATGGAAACAGCCAAGGGGCCTATCAATAGATGAATGGATTAAGAAAATGTGGTATACATACACAATGGAGTTTTACTCAGCCATAAAGAAAAATTAAATTATGAAATTGTGGCATTTACTGGTAAATGGGTGGAACTGAAGAGTATTGTGCCATGTGAAATAAGCCAGACTCAGAAAAATCAAAGTTTCAATGTACTCTTTTATATGTGGAAGCTAGAACAAAGTAAATAGGGAAGCGGGGATCAAATATCATGAAGACTGAGGGAAGGGTAGAAGGAGATTGAGGGGAGGGAGGAGGGACTGGAAAGGAAATACAGAATGAATTTGACAAAATTACCCTATGTGCATGTGTAAATATATCATAGTGAATCTCACCTAATTAAAAACATATAGATGAATAGAAAGTAGACCAGTGTAGTAAAAGAAGGGGAATAGAGGGAGTGAGAAAGGGAAGGAAAAGAGGAGACACTGGGAACTAAACTGGAGTAAAATTCCATGGAAGTATGATTGTCAAAATTAACCCAACCTGTGTACAAGTATAGTGCACCAATAAAAGCAAGGGGGAAGGGAGAAGAAGAGGGAAAGCAAATGAACAATTAATAAGTGCTATTTATGTACACACAGTGGGTACTGGGGGCATCCGAGGATGCTCTTGCAACACTGCAGCTTGCTGGAAAAACATGGCATTTTGTAAATAAGATCTCATTTAATTCTCATAAAAGGCCTTGCGGTATCATATCCCCATTTTTCACATGAAAGAAATGAAGCTCAAAGAGATTATAAAACTCTCATAATTGTCAGGCTACATCAAAATTGAAACCCAGGTGTCTTGCTCTAACATGCATCATCTTTCCATTTATATATACTTCTTTTCTAAGCTTAAAAATCCCAGTATTCAGATAAATACAGCACTAAGCTTTAGAGATACTGCAGTGAAGGATACAGGCAAGGTGTGTCAGAACACCTAGATTGTGGTTTCCATTTGAGAAGGATAATTTAGGATGTTGAATTACCCATTCTAGTTGTTTGTATGTTTTGGCCACCATACGAACAGTTCCCATGTCTCAGAATATGAATTAAATGCTTTCTCTTACAGTTCCACTCCATTACACAATAGCCAAACATAAATAAAATGTGCTTATCATTGCAAGTCTCCAGTGGGGGCTTCCTCATACATTTGGCTGTCTCGCCTAAATATTCAAAATAGGCACATACATATTTCTAAACACACTCCTTCTACATATGCTTCCTCCCCACTTCCTCTTATCAGTGGATCCATTAAGCCATCCCAGCCTTCTCAACCATTACAAAACCATACTCCCCCAGGACACTGCAGCCATTCTCCTTCAGGACAGCTCCTCAGGTGTTCTTTATCCTCCCAAGTGGTCCACGTGGCAAGCACTCTGTATAAAGTTCCATCAGAGGCTGGAATTGCCAGGGCAGGGCTGAGGTTCCTGGAATTTGAGATAAATAGACTTAATGGTCATCTGCCCTTCTTTGTTCTCCATCTGCATATCAGATGAGATGTTAGGAAGCAGGATCCCAAACCACAGTACTTCTACACTTCAGACAGAAATGTCTTGCACTAAGTTGTTTTGCACCATGGCTCTGGTATTAGTGGTCAGCAGGTATTGGGAATGGCTTTGGAGGAATGTGTACTCTGCTTCTCCTTTGATAGTTAGTACCTCCTATATTGTGATCCATGTAAAAAAAACCTTCTAGAACTCTTCACAGAAATAATTTTGTCTCCTTGAATGACAACTGTGTTTTAGTTATCAGGAAAAGAAAACCTATGTTACCCATATGTATTCCTTTTGGCCATAACATACATTGATCACCTCATTCTCAATGTCTAGGGAAAAGAAAAAAAAAAAAAACCTTCCCATTTCTCCTCTATGATTTTTGAGCTCCTCCTCTATGGAAGTTTTGAGAAGTATCTATGATATCTTTCTGCTCAAATACTAATGTTTTCTGGAAATTTGTATGGATATTTGTTGGGGATTAAGTAAATTAAATTCAACTACATCACATCCCCTCTCACTTATGGATTCTTACTAATTGAGAAGAACCAGTTATATTGTCAATATTATAATTCAAAGCACTAAGTTTTCTAATAAATACTGATAGGGGAATACCTCTTGATTACAAGGTGAAATTCTATCAGCACCCCCATCACACATTATCCATCCAGACCTGTTCTTCAGAACCCAACTGTGGATCAAGTGCATAGAGTATCATGGACTGGTCAACTTCCAATTGATGACCAGAGAGAGGAAGCCAGAGGGAGGCAGCCTCCTTGCCTGGTTCTGGAAGAGAGCTCTAAGCTGTGGCCCAGTTGGCTTCCCTAACATAACAACAGCAGGAAAGAGAGCAAGCACACACTCATTCATGACTAGTGGTCCTGCCCCAGGACCATACCTTTTTATAATTAATTCTCCTAGATTGTGTACCTGTTTCTTATTCACACAATGGCTCATATGAGTGCCTGGGACCCAGCCTTTACCCCAATCTCATATAAGCCACTCCTGTGGTTGAAAGGGGTAAGTGTGGGGTGTGGGGAATTGAGAGCACATAGTTAGTGTTTTTTCCTCCTGGGGTATGGAACACATATCTTCTCCTCCCTGTGAGTATTTGAAGAGCCAAGTAATAAATATTGTTCAACTATAGTTGTATAAATTGACAGGGAAGGATAGGATCCTGGGAGAGAGAATGGCATTCAAAAGGAGAAAACTTTGAATTGTCACTAGTTTACATATAGCACAAATGTAAATTTAATGTCTACTATGTGCCAGGCACAGCACTAGGCTTTAGAGATACTGCAGTGAAGGATACAGGCAAGGTGTGTCAGAACACCTAGATTGTGGTTTCCATTCTCTGGGTTCCCTTGGGAAAACCATTTCCTCACCTGTGAAATGAAGTTCTCTATTCTCAGCATTGTTTGGGTTCTCTCCTAGTTCCAGCATTCTTACCATATGTTTAGGTCCCTGTGCAACTTCATGAGGGATGTTCCTTTATAAAATTGGCCTGGGAAGAGGAATTCCTCAGAATTCTTCTCTGATCTTTTCTTCCAGTTTTTTGTCAGCCTGTGTGTTAGAATCAAAGCCATAGTTATTATGTAGTACCCAATTATTTGCCAAGAATAAGCCATCAGCAGGTAGTTGTACTGAAATTAGGGATCCCCTCATGGCATACTTGGAAGAGAGATTCAGAAGAGCAGGGGGACAGGATGCTGAGTAAGGAAGGGCAGGAACAGGTGCTGGCGAGGTGAGCAGGGGTGGGCTCAGGAAGATACACACACAGTACAGGCATTTCTAGCATGAACTGAAGGCAACAGGAAGAATTTTTAACAGGGAATAATTTGATTAGATTTACACAAGAGAACAATCTCTCTGGCTCCATTGTAGAGAGGAACACTGTTAAAAAAACAGGGAGATTTGCTCAGGGATTCCAGCTCAGCAGTCAGGAAAGACATCACAGTGGCCTGAATTAGGGAAGTGAAGAGCTCTGAAGATAGAGAATAGAGGATGGAGTCAGAAAAGGTAGGGGAAGTCAAACATGCAAGACTTGGAACATTTAAACATGGAAAGTAAGATAGAAGGCAAGAAAGGGAACTCTCAGGTTTCCAATTGGAGTAACTGAATGGTGTCTGTTCCCTGCAATAGCCCAATTCTGGTTAGGGGCAGAGTCTAGAGAAGGAAATTAAATGCAGTCAGAGAGGAAGAAGGGCAGGAATCTTGGTAGACCATTCACCTCTATTTTGTTGCAAACTACATATTCACATCTGGTTGAACTCAAGACCATATACACTATATAACCTGAGTAAATGAGTGTTATGTGAATTAATTTTATAATGTGAAAATCTAATGTGAATGATAGGGTTGATGCCCACAAACTTCATGCTGGGCTGGATGAAACCAGCAGCTCTTGTCCTCTAGGCATATTCCACAAGAAGACCTGGAAGAATGAAAGATGTGAAGGTGAGACTGTAAACAGTCTTGATGGCCCCCAAATCCAGCATCCTGTTCAGTCCTAAAATCTCTCAGAGATTGTCCTATTCCATATAAGCATCTGGTTCCGATTGACTTTAATGGGATTCCCTTACAAACCACAGATTCTAAATTATCCCTTAGTAGGTATAGCATTTATAGGAGACATATTACTTTATTCTGAATACCCTTTGGGCACTATTACACTAAATTCTGACAAGAGCAGAATTCAGAATATGATCATCTAGTATGAGAATGCCACTGTTCACATGCTGATTGCTTGTAAGTCACAGAAAATAGGTATTTGTAAGAATTTTTTAAAATAAAAAAAAGATATATAATTTATGCTAAGAAATATCAAACATTATATTCCTATTGTTTTAATTTTATTTTGTTTCGTTTTGGCTTAATCCAAAGGCAAGTCATTTTTGCGGGGAGGAAAGGATACATTTTTTTCCCCAGGTCTGGAGATTAAATGATTTAGTAGGCATTCCACGTTCAACTAACAAAAGGGGGATTTGCATATGAACTTGTTTCTGCAAGAAAACACATTTAACATGTTCATAGTTCATGGGAATTCTCTGTATCAATGGCAGCTCCTTCTGGCCATCTCCTTCTTTTTTCTTCTTCTTCCTCCCTACAGGTCACTGGATTGAAACTATCTCAGGACCTCGATGATCTTGCCATCCTCTACCTGGCCACAGTTCAAGCCATTGCTGTAAGACACTTTAATGTCATTTTTAAGGAAATTTAGGATTATCAATGTACTCGGAGACACAAGCCTCCCAAGATACACCAGATGCTTTTGTGACAGAGTTTCTTAATTAAAGGAGAACTTGCCAAAAAGAGATGCGGGTATTTCTGGAAGGAAAAGTTGATAAAGGTCTTTGCTTGATTTGCTAATAAGCTTACATAGTGAAACTGAAAGGAGTTAAAGTCTTTGAGCATCATGCCCCCTCCCTTCCTTTCCCACCGCCCACTTTGCCTTATCTAAACTTCATCTAATCCTCCCATCACCAAGCACTTTCTTAATACTTAGGTTTGTCCAGGTGCCATGTGTATACAGCAGAGAACAGAACTTTCCAACTACTGAAGGAATATGTCTTCTTTGATGCCACTACATAGGAGTATGGAATCAGCCAACTTGATTAAATAGTCCTTTCAGATTATATACCTCTTAATTGTGTTTTCCTGAAGCCACTCCTTATTGATTTAATAGTTTGGCCACTTCAGTGAAGTTAGTCACACTATTTTTTGCATAGCTACTTGGTCAAAAAGAGATGGTTCTGCCACCTATCAAACTGCAGGAAGTGAACACTACGATGAAAAAGGAAAACCTACATTAGTAAAGACAATTATTTACTACTCTTTTTTTAAGTGATGATGATTATGTAGTATTAATACATAATAGAATTTGGGGGAATTTATTATATACCAGGCTCTATGTCAAATACCACATACCCATTATCTGATTCAACCTTGTAAAAGTAGATATTATAGTCCCCATTTCACAGATTAGAATCTAAAGCCTCAGTGTTGATCAGGGCAACATAGCCAGTGCATGGCAGAGCTGGAAGGGGAAGGCATACAACTAGATACAGGAAGTATTGAGGAACATTTATTTTCTAACTTGTTAACGTTATTATATGAAAAGTCTTTTAGCAAAATGAGTCACTTACATTAAAGTGAATAATTTTGGAAAATCAAAGCTGTGTAATGCTCAGTTTTGTGAGCATACTGCTAAGAGGTAGATGTGAAGGACAAGGTCAAACAGATTGGGCTCAGGGTCCTCACCTCTTAGTGGTAATGACTATGACCTCTTGGGAACTCCAACTCTGTACCAGGCACTGCAGTCTTACTCTGTGACTTAGGACTGTAACCCTATATGTCAATGGTATTGTCCTCATTTTACAGACAAGGGGCAGGCTATTTGCCAGGGTCACACAGCTCATGCATGGTAGCTGGAATTTGAACCTCTCTCCATGTCACTCCCAGGCTCCTGCTCTTTCTACTTTACCATGCTGTAATTTTCTTTGATCTATTTGTAAAATCTACTTGGATAAAATAAACATTCTGGCATTCCCAAGAATAGTTTTGACTTAACACATATTAGAAAACATCATTAATTTGGCCCGGATTTTCTCACAGAGGTCCCTTTCCCAGTAAGAACATTGCAGCAGAAGTTCAAGAATTTGAAAGTGAAGTTAAACATAATGTAGGCTGGAGAGAAAAAATAAAGAGTGTGCCTTAGTGTATTTAAGTGACTGTTTTATTTTGCCCATTGTCTTAATGATCTTTGTAAATCATGAAAGAAAGGTATTTTAGGACAGATTTCTCCATAAGGTTTTATTATGGACTCAGTTGAATTGGGAGGTGTCTTTTGCAAAAGGATCTGAGTGTGCTGATCTTTTAGGCAAAACTGTGCATCTTAATGAAGCAGTCTGACAACAGATATTTTCCCATAATTTCCACCTTGAAAAAATTGGTTTTGTTTCCTTGGTCCTGAATATTGCCTTAGTACCTATTTGTCATTAATAAATTCAATTAATTCCTCTCTGTAGTTAAACCCATGGTTGGTATTTTATAGGAATGGAATGAAGTGAAAGAGAAAAATTAGCTCAAGACTGTGCAAAACTCTCCATGCAATAAAATTCTTGCTCATGCTTCATTGAAAGACCTGTCAACTACCCAGTTCATCCATAGCCTGTTCATCTGTAGTTTTCTTTTCAGAAAAGGCCCTTAAAAAGTACTATTTGCATTTGAAGTCTCTTGATTTGCATTCGGTTCTGTACATTCTCAGTGGAGTAGCCTAATTTTAATTTAAATTTCTCAGTGAAAACATTTTTTCCAGAAAGGTGAGCACAAAATCATTGTGGCACAAAGCCCTTTGGTGGGGCATTCCAGGAGGTAGAGCAGTACACTGTGGAGTCTGGGAGTCTGGGATACCAGAAGGGAATGCCCTGTAAGGAACCACCAGACTGGGAAGTTCCAGTCAACCAGGCCACACAGGGGAGCAAGGCTGTCACAGCCCCTCCAGGGAGTGCCTCTTGTTCAGGTTCTTCCTCTGCTTTTCCCAGGAAATATGATTTGTCTTACTCTTGACTTAGGCCTGTTAATCATGTGGCTCCACCTCCCTGGTTTTAGAAATATCAGTTTCGCACAGTATTCCCATGCAAATTGGGAAGTAGCTATACTTCTTCCCATATAGACATATTGTTCTTAGGGAAATTACATAACTCCTAAGCAGGGTAACAATGCGCAGTATGCGAATTTGTTTTACCATTAGCAATGGCATGAAAGGGCCTAGCAGAGTGCCTAGTATATGGCTAATCACCAGAAAGAGTCCTCATCCATAAACACGTTTACCGGTGCTCCAGCCCAGCTTCCTAGAGCAGCAAGCTTGTAACTTAGATATTACTGTTTCATCAAGTCTCAGACCACACTTTTTATTTCTTTTCACATTGTCATTTTTTATATTCCATAGAATTTTTAACTGAATGAATATGGTATTATTATTACTATTTAACAAACAAGAAATGAGTCTTAGAAAGATTAGATATGAGAAATAAGTGAAATTCCTGAAGGACAGCTCGGTTTTTGTTTTTTGTTTTTTGTTTTTTGTTTTTTTTAATACTAAATTAAAAACTGCTGCTCTTAGCTGTTAAGGATCCATGCCCCTAGAGCAGTCCAGACTTACCTGGAATCTATGGGCATCAAATGATCCCTGGAGGACCTAAAGGCATCTGTTGACCCCCTGAAGTTATGTTTAGTACTACTTTGTGTGTGACATTTTTTATCTGGGCAGGTCAGTAGGTTTTATCATGTTCTCAGTGGGGTTCATGACCCCCCAAAAAGCTTAAGAAAGAACATCTGGGGGTAATCAGCCATAGTCAATAAGCAGGATCTGGCCTTATGCAGTACAACGTGTTTTAACTTTCTAAACACACACCATCTGTGGATTATCTTTGGAGGCCCAGGTTTCACCTAATCCATATTTTTAACAGATTCCTGAGTACCTTCAGCAAACCCTGAAGACCTCTGGGCAGGAACTGCTGTGCCCTTTGCTCATGACAGCCCTGTCCCTCTTGATTTGCTTCAAATCAACTGAGGTTTCAAACCAAGTGACCCCAGATCACCCACTGACCTCTCTCCCCCTTAGAGGCACCCCTGCCCAGGGGGAGTCAGCATTCAAGCAGCCTGGTCAAAGGAGGCAGCTGCACTTGCCCTACACCCACCCCTGGGGTCTGAGGTGAGGCTACAGCGTGCTGACTGCCCAAATCTGGGCCTTCTTCTGATCTTCTTAACCTCAAGCTAAACTTCCTCTTCTCTATGTATTGGGTACCAACTGCTCAGTGACACTCACACTCTTATCAAAAGCCATGACAGTGGCTTCTATCTTCTCTCCAGCCAGATTGGCCTTCTTGGTGACTCCCCATCTGGAACCTTGCTCTTGGGCCTTTGGATCCTCCATCTTCCTATCTCCCTGACCTGTTCCTCCCTCCTCCTCAGCAATTCACTCCCATGGTCACACCTAGGATTTACCATCTCCCAGGATTGCTCAGACTTGAAACATTTCAAGGACTCTCTAGCCAACAAAAAATCCTCTTTTACATTTCTCTCCTGAGTCACCCTCAAATATCACCATGTGGCTGCTTCCTTAGGGTCACATTCCAGTTCATCTTCTTGTTTTTAATCCTTATTCAAAATACCTTATGAATTTTGAACTTCTAGTTTTTTTTGAATTTTCAAATGAATTATCATCCTCAACTATTTGAATAACCTAGCCAAAAATAAAGAATTGTACATTAAAATTCACTCCCATATTCCTAAGTTGTACAGTAGAAGAGTAGTCCTCTTCTCAAACTGTATTGGTTTTTACCAAATTTAATAAACTGTACAAGACAGGAATAAAGGTAATTCACATCAGGAAGATAGTGGGACAGAAGGTCTCTGATGTAAGAACTGAATTGAAAAGGCAGTGAAACCCTGAGCCAGCCAGAGTGTGTGTTTGCCACAGAAGACTGACTGGAAATGGATTCTGGTTCCAGAAGCCTCATTATTAGAAAACTATTACCTGGTTTCAGGTGATAACAAAGGTTTCAGCCTTTGTCAGTGTAAGGTTTACATTCTTGATGAAATTAGAGCCCTCTTTTCTTGGCCCTACTACTGGATCCCTAGGCACATTTTTTTAGGGAAAAAAAAAAAACAAAACCTCTTTAGTTCCCCTTTAGTTAAAGAGGACTGATCCGGGTGCCACCAGCTCTGTTCATTTTGGAGCAATGTTAAAATCACTCCATTCCAGTATGGCATAGAGGCCCAGGCCACAGTAGATTCTCATCAAATGTTTGAGTGAGCTGCATTAATATTAATTGTGCTAACAATGTCAACTGTTTTTGTTAGTGTCATGTAACTACTGATAAAAGTAAATGCTATAGTAATTGAGAGGGTTTTGGAGTCAGCAGGCCCAGGTTGGAATCCCCCTCTGTGAGCAATTAACTGTGTCCCATAGGCAACACAGGCTCTCTAAGTCTGAGCTTTCTGAGGCGGTGTGTGCAAAGCTATTGGTGCAGTGTCAAGCATGGGGAAAACACTTAGCAAATGTTCCTTATCATTTACTTTTGCTACCATACTAATGGTTTCTTCTGCTTTTCCCTTTAAGTTTGGGACCCGCTTCATTATAGAGGCCATGGAGACAGCAGGGCACTCCATCAGTACTCTTTTCTTGTGTGGGGGCCTGAGCAAGAATCCTCTTTTTGTGCAGATGCATGCAGACATTACTGGTAAGTCTGGGGAGGAAGAGAGAAAGTCATTTTAGGCTTGGCAGCCATTGGACATCACCAAGTGCTGGGCAGGTTGAGAACAGGAGGATATGGGTGACGGGTCAAGTTATTAAGATGACTCTGAAGATTTATGTTCATCATAGGGAAATTGACTATGGAATGAGATGAGAGAGGTCAGTAGGAGCTAGATTTTGATTCCAGCATTTACTCCACAATTTTGAGTACCTCTTATGATTTGGGCATTGTAGGCAATATTGAAGATACAAATATGAAGAAAGACATAATTCTTGCTCTTACAGAGCTCAGGATCTATTGAGGAAGACAAAGAACAAATAGACTCATTAAACAAAATGTTGAAGAACTTCTGAGTGAGTAAATCATAGGATATTTTGAAAACCCAGTGGGAACTTTGCCCAGTTTTGAACCTGTGACAGTGCAGGCCAATGTGATCTAGAAGAAGTGATTAGAAAGATGCTGTGGGAACTGGGACCTGGCCACAAACTGGGAATTTGAATCTAAGGAGCCCACCATCCTTAGATGCCTTCTCAGCTCATCAGAATCCAGAATCATAACACAGATGGAGGGAATCCAGAGTAATGGGCTGAGCCCTTTGTGACAAGGGAAGACAGTGGCAGAGCAATTTCTTAGTAAGTGCCCCTGGGACCCAGGGAAAGGGCCCTACTGACAGGAGATTTGCTGATGGCATTGAGGCAGGCCTGCACTCCCATTTCTCTGGACGCAGTACCCACACCTCTCTTGCTCATTCTCCCCTAGTGTCTCCTGAAGCATCCCTGGGAGGGCCAGGCACTAGAACATGGAGAGGGGAGGGAAATAGGGGAGGGTTGTACCCTTCCCCAGCCTGATATCATCCCACTCTACCATGGCCTTCATCATGACCCTCTCTGGCCCCTGTTGCCTGGGCAAGTCAAATCTCTGAGCTCACTCAAATCTCTCACCTCCTCATATCCTGTTTCTCCTCCAGGCCATGCAGATTCCTGCAGAAAAGAGCTTTATCTAATGTGATAGACACTGTTGATCCCTATACACTCTAAGAGGAAGCTCAACAGGCTAATTATCCCCATCTTTGAGATAAATAGACTGAGGCACAAATTAGAAAACATTTGATAAAAATGTATAGTCTAAGAGTAGACCTATCAGGTTGGGAAGTGTAGAATTTACTTCCATTTAACAAGTTCCTACTATGTGCCAGTGTGAATCACCCTATAAACATTTGATCCTCCCATAACATGGAAATTAGAAAATAGACATTACACACAAACCACTGAAGATGGTAGATTTGAATTAAGTTGACTTTTCCAAAGTCAAACAGCCAGTAAGGGATGGTTCAGGAAGAGTGTAATTTGGTTATGTCTGTACCCACCGTCCCCTCTGCTGCTGACCCAGGTTTCTTGACTTTTCCGGTATAACCATTTGATGATGATCCCTTTACAAAGCTGTTCAAAACCTGTGGAAATGGACCATAGAGAGTGGCTGGAAGACTGAAGCACAAAGAGGAAAGACCAGAAAAGGGGCCCACATTACCTAATTTTCCCTGGGAGAGTAACCATGACCATGTTTTATCTAAAAATCAGCTGATTGGTTCAGTGAAGGTTCAGACTTAAAATTGGTTTATGATCTTCCAATTTCCAGCTTCAAATAGCCAAAAACACATCCACCTGGATGTAGGAAGGAAGATAGAAGTCAGGTTTGAGTTAACATATTGCTCAATGGAATGAGGAAATCAGGGCCCCTGAAAGCAGGCAATCCAGAGTGACCAGGACACTGTCTCGACACTAGTTCCAGCCTTTGTGAAAACGGGTCACCTTCTAAGCATGATACCCTGAGCTGACTCAGAAGCAAGGCCTGCAGCCATTTCACTGAAAGTTCGGCTTTGGAAACTGCTCTTCTCCAGACTGCTGAATGAAAAGGCTGTTAATCGTTGTTTGGATTCAGATTGAAACTGGACCCTTTGTCTCTAACTATGCACCAGTTACAGTTATAGACAAAGGGACCTTTTCTTTGGCCTGAAATTCCTCTGCTTTTGGAAGCCTGTGACTGACAAGTGATGGCAAAGTGCATCTGCCTTTAAATGCTTTGGGTTCTGCTAAACTCATTAATGCATCAGATAAAATAGTTCACATTCCAGGCAAGGCCCCCCTCTTCCTCTCCTTCACCCAGCACTCAAAAAAAGGAACACATTTGCATTTGTCCCTGTAAAAGGCCCTGAGAACACAGTGGCCATACACATCAGCCTGTGGATAGGTAGTGCATTTGGTGCTTTTAAACATTGTGATTGCTCTAATTTTCCTACCAAGAAAGATTTAGAGAGGACATGGTACATGATGCTCAGAAATACATGTGAAAAATCACAGTAGAATTTGCAAGATTCTTTGGAGATGGTTCAGAGTGGTGGAAAGAACAACAAGCCAGGACTGTGACTCAGGACCAGTTATTTTACCTCTGTGAGCCTCAGTTCCCTCTTGTGGAAGACAGAAATGTTATCATCTCTCTCATGTAGATCGTGCTGAGGGATAGATATGTCAATGCTTGGGAGTTGGTTAACAATGAACTCTGTGCCTCATTCCCAGTAGAATCCGTATCTATGACATCACTTCTCCCCTCCAGACAGCCCCACACCAAAAGGAAGAAGGGATGGTAGAGAAAAAGCAATTTAATATTTTTTTTTTTAGCAAAATCTTTCCTGTGTTAGGAACAGCATGCTCTATGGGGCTTTGCCAGCTTGGGAAATGCCAACACTGGGAAGAATCTCTTGGTGCCCCGGCCACTTAGTTAACTGTGGTTTCAAGAAATACTTGGTGTGTACTAAGTAATTGTAGGTTTTCCCCCAGTGACTTGGGACTAAATGTTCCTTCTTCTAAACTTTGTTTTTAGTACTGACAGTATCCATTGGGGGTTTTCCTCTTCCTGTCTTACTCATTCTTTTAATCATTTGTTCATTCATTTATTCACTGCAATGCATTCTCTGAGCACACCAGCCTGTCAAGTGCTGTGCTTTACAACATGGGGATGCAAAAAGAGAATGATGCCCTACGGAGGGTTTTGTTATAAAACAGAAAAGGTGCTCATCATGGTCCTGTGACCAATGTGCAAAAGAGTAGAGTGGGAACCCAGAGGACAGAGTTGTCAGGGTCATTCAGGTCCAGGCAGAGAACAGATGCACACTCAAGTCGGGTTAACTGGAGAAAAGCTGAATAAGGGATCAATTTACAGAGGTGTGAGCAGAGGTTAGGGAGACCTGGACCATCAAGAAGTCCCCTGGGGCAGCCAGCAGTGTTTCTACCCCTAAGCTTTCAGGGTTAGAGAGTTCCAGGGAGCTAGTGGTATCTAGAAACTGAGGGTCATATGAAGAAGGTGGCCCAGCAGAAGTCTAGTCAAGGGTGTTGCCAGAGGACAAGGCCCATCTTTCAGGGCTCAAAGCAAGTGGGGAGATATGTGGAGGAGGTAGGATTGGTCTGAGAGACAGATGGAAGCAATCGGTTGTTTTACCCAGGGTAGAAGGATGAGGAGAAATATCACAGACAGGGAAACTTCAAGAATCATTACAGCTAATGTTAATTTAGTGCTTTCTCCAAGCCAAGCACTAGGTGCCTTACTTTCAACAGCACTTTTAATTCTCACAGCAACCCTAAGCTGGAATTTGAATCCCATTTTGAAACACACAAACACACACACACACACACACACACACAAAGAGAAGTAAGGATCACACAACGAAGTTGGTGAAGAAGCCAAAGTTCAAACCCTGACAGTCTGGCCCTGCAGCACTTTGGGCTGCAACCTGAGAGCTAATAGGGGATTCATTAGATTCACTCTGGTCTCTGGTTTCCAAGGGGAGGGATTTGGGAGTAGTTTCTCCCTACCCAGACATAGGGAAATTTTGGCAGGGAAAAGAGGGGCTGGGAGACAAATGGTGTTTGCGGGTGCAAGCTTCTAAAAAGTCCCAGGTCAAGGGAAAAGTCTGAATGGCAGGCTCATATTATACCCCCATCATTCCTGGGATTCTGCAAAGTTCTACAGTGCCCTCTCCTGATTGGGCCATTATCACCCTTCATTGTGGCCTGGTGTTCATCCTTTCCTTCTAGATGGCTGACAGCAACCTGCTCTGCCCTTCCCACTATTGCACTTTGCAGTCCAGGTGAAGTACAGGTAGAGTCTTTGCTCCCCATCCACCTAATTCTGACAGTGCCAGCCACTATTTCTGCAGAGTTTACCATGGGCCAGGAATTGTGCTGTGCCCCATGTGTATGCCTTGTTGTTTACCCTCAGAGTGCACCTGTGTGCTAAGTCTTATCCCTATTTCACATGGGGAAACCAAGACTGCAGAGTTTAAGGAGCTTGCAGAAGGACTCGGTGGAATCAGGAAACAAACCCAGGTCTGAGCTTTTCCCAGAGCCCACTCACCTGAGCTTACAGCAGACTGGTATTTCCAGGTCTTCTGGGAATTCTGCTCCCTGGTCCCTTTATGTGGTGGCTGGGCAGCTGACCCAGCCCTGGAGAAAGGCAGTGAATTAGGAATGATGTGACAAAGAGGAGTGTATAGCAGAGAAGTCTTCCCTGATAAGAGACGGTCTTTAGAAAAATAGCTCTCACGTGCTGAGTAGAGGAAGATTTCATTCCAGAACTTACCTCTGTGGCATTTGCTGCCATCTCCCGATAAGCAAATATATATGGTAGGTACTGTTTTAATGTCTTATTTTTAAGCCCTATGATATGGGTAGAATCTGAAACCCACTTTGGAAACTGAGGTAGAAAAAAGTTAGACAACTTGCTTAGGGTCACACAGTGAAGTAAGTAAAGAAGCTGACAATTTAGAATCCTGAATTATTTGTATTAGTCTTGACCCCCTGTTGAACCCTCTGGGAGTTGGTATGTGGAGGCTTCTTCCTGCCTGATGGTCCCTTACTCACCCTTCAAATGCCTGTGTAAGCCCCATGTCCACAATGATCACCACTACCCCAGAAATTCTTACTCTTGTAATTTAATCACTCTCCATGTAGGAGATACTGTCTAAACACCAGGAATATAGCTGTAGACCAGACAAAGCCCCTGCCGGCAGAAAGCCCGAATTCTGGCATGGGGAACAAGACACTAGACAACATAATACAATATAGGCTGGAAGATGAGGAGGAAAGAGGGAGGAGGTGAAGTGAGGGTACATTGTCATTTTGAATCCCATGCCCCAGGCTCAGTGGGAAGGTTATGTTTACATGAAGAAGGGGAGAAGGTGGTTACCATGTGGGCATCTGGAAGGACCTAGAAGCATATTCAGGAAACAGCCAGGAGGCCAGAGTCATATGGCTGGGAGGAAAGGAGAAGATCAAAGTGACAAAGTGAACCTAGACCCTGGAGGAAAGGCTTTTTCAGACAATGTCAGTGCACTGAGAAAGGGAAGAAGCCACTGGAGAGCAGAATCCCACCCTCTCTTGCTACTTCCCTTCTCTTAGTACATCTCAGTCAGAGAACCAGCCCCCTGCATGACCTGCTTCTCTTTCTCATCCATCTCCCCTCTGAGATCTGAACAACAGACACTGTCTGATTCATCTCAAGCTTCCCTGGGCCCAACAAAGCAGTAACATACATTTGTTGAGCTGAACTTGAACCAAATGTCAGGTAGCAGCTGGAATACCTGGGCTGTGAGGTCTCCAGAGCTGATACATATGGTGTGGGATCTCCTGAGGCTCTGGGCTATTGTACCAGCAGGCACAGCCAGTGAAACCCTTTAGAACTGGGTAATTCTGGGGAACAGGGGCTGGGGGTCCTGGGAGGGCTGCTACTGGGGTTGCCTGCTGGCTCTCCACACTACCCCCACCCTGCTCCCTAACCAAGGTGTGGCCTTGTTCCGCACAGGCATGTCTGTGGTCCTGTCGCAAGAGGTGGAGTCTGTTCTTGTGGGAGCTGCTATTCTGGGTGCTTGTGCCTCGGGGGATTTCACTTCTGTGCAGGTATGTGAGGACCTGGGGGCGGGCCTTGATCCCTCCTCTGTCTGAGGCTGATCTTCCTCTTGACAGCAGCTCTCATCTTGCAAAACACACACAGGATATAATTAAGAAATGATAGGTTGCAGCCAGGGAAATCAGAAATGCTTCCAGCTTCAGACATATTTATTGCAGTTTTCATTTGACTTGGCTTCTGTTGGTGTTGGTTCTGTTTTTCTGTTGGTTTTCTTTTTTCTCCTTTAAAATGGCTCTTAAATTAAGTTTTTAAACTTCCCCCTTGATAATTTTTCTTTGCACAATGGAAACAGGTAAGACTCAAATGGTTTTTTGTGCATACTTCAAATTTTGGTTTTTTTTATTTCAATCTTGTCACTTTCCAAATAGATACGAGGCCTCTGTCAATAAGAAACACAGGGAAAAAAATGTTAGAAAAGAATTAAAAAGGGAAATAAGGAACAAAAATATAGGAAGAAAGAAACAATTTGGTGGCTGTGATTGAGTACATAATTTGGCTTTGAGCTTCCTGGCAGCCAAGACAAAAAAAAAAAAATAAAGAACGCATGATTAGTTGCGTAATTCTTATTTTCAGAAGGAGGAAACATACTAATTTCTCAGAAGACACAAAGTTTTTTCTGCCACCAAATTGCATAAGACGTTGCACGTATGGGGCTTTGTGGATAGAGTCCAAGTCTAACTAAAATAGTAGAAAATGAGTGAAAACTGAGGATACTGGAGAGGCTAAGAGCAAAGGCTCTGTGGTTGGACCTGGGCTCGGATCCTAGCTGGATAGTGTCCTAGCTCTTGTGACCAAACCACTTTGCAGCACACACCTGCACTTCTTTATATACTTTAGACTTCATGACAGTAGCTTGTTGTGAGTTCATTCTATGGGTCACATGCTTCCATTAGTCTCCACGTAGCTCTATTATCCCCATTTTATACTTGAGGAGCCAAAGGTATAAAGACATGGCTTAGCTTCACATGAAGCAGCCAGGAAAGGCTGGAATGGAGAAGTCTGGCTCCCAGGTCTCAGTGGAGAGTTCAAGAGATATTTGTTTAGCAGTTAATATGAGAACTTAATGACTTCCCCACAGTCTCAGGGTTAAGGCCAAAAGCCAGGTTTTCCACTAGTAGCCGAGTAATTAGAATTTCGTTTACTGTGACCCTCTTCTGTGCCTGACTATAACCTCCTGACACCTGTAATGTCCTTTGTGGGCCATAAAGACTGATCAACAGATCCAGGAAGCTTACAAAACTTAAGGGCAGACTGTTAGATACAAAAGCCTCTTTCTACAATCCATGCTTTTTGTAATACATTTTGGGAAAGGTGGTATGCTACACACTGTTCTAGCCTCTGGAATTGATGACTCCAAAATCTCTCTCTAAGGAACAGACTGCATTTAAGAATACCTAATAGACTTTAACCAAAGCCATTAAAGAAAATGGGTACAATTGAATTTCCAATGTTTTCTGGTTTCACTAATTCTCTCTCAAAAAACATCACATGGAAATTTTATTTACTGTTGAAATATTAATGGATTGTCAATTGTTATTATTATAATGTATAAACTTTAGAAGCTGTCTCACAACTAGAGGTCTTGTTCTTCTTGGGATAAATTATAATAGTTAAATCAAAATAATAGTGATGTTTATTAAGGCACTTCATAACCCCCAAAGTGATAGTATTTAGAGAGGAGATTTTGAAAGAGAATTAAATGAGATCATGAGGGCAGAGCCCTGATTCCAAGGGTTAGTGGCCTTATGCAAAAAGATATCAGAAAGTTTGCTCTTACTCCCTCAGAATTTGACTGTGTAAACCAAAAGAGCACCCTCACCAGAGCCCAATAATGTTGGCACGCTGATTTCAGACTTTGAACCTCTGAAACTGTGAGAAAATAAATTTCTGTCATTTAAACAACAATTCTTGATATTTTGTCTACTAATATCTCAACATTAATATTTCTAAGACACCTCTTGACAATCTCCATGCCTGAGACAGATCATTCTATCCTTGTATTATAGATAAGAAAACTAAGGTGCAAGAACATTCTAATTATTTACTCAAGGCCACACAGTTAGTAAGGGTGGAAGCATCATTGAAATGGAAGTCTCTGTGTATCTATACCCTATGTTAATCCTCATTCTTTTTCTAAACTGTTTGATTTTTTTCCTTCTTTCTTTAAAATATTTTCTTGGCTTTTTTAAAAAAATATATTTTTAGTTGTAGATGGACATAATACCTTTATTTATTTATTTATTTATTTTTACATGGTGCTGATGAGGATTGAACCCCGTGCCTCACACATGCTAGGGCTACAGACAGAACCAGGGCTTCCAGCTCCAAGAGTTCCATGATATCCTCCTTTAATTAGAAACTGAGCTCAGTTCTGCACTGGCATCTTTGCTACAAGAGATTTGCTGTTAATCTTTGGAACAGAATCTAAGATACGGTATATTTGGACTGGTGACTTGAGTAGCAGCTGCAGGGTTCAAAGCATCTTAAAGACAAGCTCATGTCTCCTACTCAAGCCAAGGAAGTAGGTGCCTGTTCTGATTATTTTCAGGTTATCCTGTAACTCAGCAAAGGGAGCCCCTGAATGAGAAAGGTCCAAGTTGTATCTGTCATCATTTACCTGCCTCAATCCCTACAGTCTTGACTCAGTGCTTTCTTATACATCCTCAAACAGTATCACCTGTCCTCTCCAGGTACTTGTTTTGTTTGTTTGCTTTTAAATATCTAAATAAGAAAAATTGCCACCACTAGGACCGTTAAGCTGAGGAGGCTCGAAAGTTCTGCTGCCCTCACAGGTGTAATCAACATCATTAGAATGATTATGTTTAGAACTGCTTTAGAGAAGTAAGTGTATGTATTTGGCTTCATTCACCCTTCTCAAAGAGAAGCCAACCTGTGAGCTCAGGCCTGGGGAACCAGCTCAAGATTCTGGCATGGTGAGGTAAAACAGAATTGCTTCTTCCCCAGGATTCAACCAGATCTTCAACAATCTTTTCTTTGAACTTCAAAGATGCTAGCCAGGTCTTCAGAGGACCTGCCATTCCTGACTTCAGAGAAACCAAATAATTCCTTTCAGGAACTCAACTATTACAGCAGAACTCAACTATTGTCTTGTCTGAGGTCACATGTCTAGTGGTTGAATGGAGGATTTCACTTTTTATCTAGATGGGCTGACATTGGCAATCTAAACCTGTCATATCCATTAGATGAAGGGAAGGCTAGAAGAGTTCAGAGGACACTGACTGCAGACCTACCAAAGGGGAAGGAGGTTTTCCCAATTTATTAGGCCCATGAATGGAAGACTTCAGCCAGGGGCAGAGCCCTGTGTCTTCCTTTGGTGACACCAGTGTATCAGAATGGAACCACTGTGGTAGATTTTATTAAAGCTACTGCAAACTTGTATATATGTCAAGTCCAAGGAAATCCTGAGGTTGAGGGTTTGGGACAGTGGATGGAATTTTGTGGTGAGGTGTTAGTGGGAAAGATTGGTCAAGTATAAGATCCACTGCTCTTACCAACTTGGAAACATGTTGACAATTACTAGCCTTCACCTCTTGTTCTTTTTTCCACTAATATTTTCATTTTCTGGGTCTTCCTCTCTCCCCCCTGCCCTTTACTTCCCTCCTTTCCTTTTAAACATCTAATATCTTCTTACGATGACCTTTTCAAATAAGAGCCTCATGGAGGGCACTGACATAGCCATCCATCTGCACTGAGGAATAGAAGGACCAGCCATATCCTAGAGACATGTCCTGCGGGAAGCAAGTTGTCCTGTAAGTAGCTGTCAAAACTGCCTCCAAAGAGTGTAAGGATATGTCAGAGTCAGCTTCCTACTGTGGAATCAGGTCACAGCTAGGCTGTTCCCATGGTGAGAGTTCAGCTGTTTAGTAGGAGTTGGGGACAGAGGTAGCATGGATGAGAGTCTTTTCCCCCTCCTTTTATTCATGGGACTGTGAATCCATATAGTCTTGACCTCTGTGATCTTTCCATATGATCACACCCCCATTCCTGTGTCAGTGCACTAAAAACAATATCTCTGATTTTGACTATTCTGGAAAACACAATTCTGGATATGATTGGTTTCGATTGCCAATGTCAGCCCATCTAGATAAAAAGTGAAATCCTCCATTCAACCACTAGACACTATTCTGAAAAGCCATAGTACTTCTGTAGACTCCCAAGTCCTGGAAACCAGTAAATTGGAAAAAATATAAGTTTATAAAAATGTTTATGTTTTCTAAGCAGGGAAAATAGAATGATTTTCTAATAAATGAAAGAAAAAAAAAAGTTGTTTTCCAAAAGTCATGAGAGAAAACCCAATCAAATGACAAAGAGGCAGAAATGTGAAATGGTTTTCCACAGTTCTGCTGTCTTCATGCCCCCTGCAGATGTCATTAGCATTCTGTAATTTCTTAAGAGGCAAGTTTTTTCCAAGATTATTTATACAAAACAACCTTTAACTCCAACAGTACTATTTATCTTGAACCACCATCTTCCTCTCCTACCTCCACTCCTCCAAAAAAAGCAGTGGAGGAATCATCCCAAGCAGCAAAAATCAACACAAGGAGACAATGACAAGAGACCAAACGAACTCAGCAATCATTGTAAGGGGAGTACGGTATAAAGAAATAAGCTCAGGGCTGGGATTGTGGCTCAGCAGTAGAGTGCTCACCTAGCATGGGCGGGACCGGATTCGATTCTCAGCACCATATAAAAATAAAGGCATTGTGTTGTGTCCATCTACAAAAAAAGATTCTCTCTCTCTCTCTCTTAAAGAAAGAAAGGAAGGAAGGAAGGAAGGAAGAAAGAAAGAAAGAAACTAACTCAATTATTCAAAACGCTTGCTTTCTCCCACCCGCTGTAAGCTGCCACCCCATAAACCACTGACTCCATTCGCTCCCACCATCAACTTTCCCTGTCACGTTCCAGACAGACTCCTGTGTCTCCCAGACCAATACTTGTAAGTGGCCAGTGGAGAGCCGTGATTACTCAC